TTTATGTATGTATATGGAAGGGAATGCGAATATGAGGCTTGGGCTTTCGGTGCGGTTCTCTGTTTGGGGAATTGTGGTCATTTTTCGCAATTAAAAGCTTTACACATTTTGCAATCAATATATGAAATAATTAAATAAAATGTCGCTTAATTAAATTGGCACGACCTTTTTCGATGTGGCTTTTGCCGAGGAATGATGATGATGATTCGAGTGATAAGCAGAAAAAACAGAAGCCAGGGCAGCTGAAAGCCTAAGGAATGCGTTTAATTTGTACGATGACTTAAGTGTAAAATACCCTGCATTAATGGGAATAAAAGATGGAAAGTTGTAGATTGTAAATAAAATATCGATTGTTTTCAAAGTATATATTTAATAATAAAATAATTTAACAAATAATAATTTTTTTTATCGAAATGTAAGAGATTAAATCAATATTTGTTCAAATTTATTTATTTAAATATATACCTATTTTCTGCTGTTGAGATAATTTTTATTGTTATTTTATTTCTTGGAACGTGGAACATGATAAATTTGGATATATTTTCCAAAATTTCTTTTTACTAAAGAGTATTAATTAGTTAGGCAATTCTCAAATTCTGATATTCGCCTCTTGTTTACGCATCTGAGCTCCAATTCTCGCGCATCACAAAAATGTGACAGCTAGTTAGTGTCGAAAAGAGCAGTCAGCCCCTCGCAGTTGGCCAATTAAATTCAATTGAAGTTTTCTTATTCTTGTTTTTCGTTTTTGGTTTCTGTAGGCCGCTGGCTTCTGTTTATTTGTTTACTCTTTAACGCCTGCGCGCGTGCCTCAATTTAGTGGCCCGAAGTCGGAACATTTTTAATGCACTTTGCCACATCTGCGGATAGGCGATAGGCAAATGAGTCTGCTAATAAAGTGGGGGGTTTTCTCGCCGTGTACCCGCTGTGTGCCGCCTGTCAGCATATCAACGCAATTTGTGCACTCGCCAATAGACGAGACCGAGTCCGAGAAGCCAAGACGGCGGCAAATTATGGCCAACGATGCTCGGCGACTGCGCAAAGTGCCTCATAAATTCACGTCGCTGATGAAGTGATAGTGCGAGGAGTAAGAGTAAGAGTACGATCAAGAAAAATCGGCTAAGGAGTCTCACAGGCAGCCTTAGATTCAGATCCAGCTATAGCCATAGCGACACGGCAAAAAAAATCCAGATTTTGATGCAGGTTTAGCCAAAGTTAAAATAATTCTAAAGTTACGGAAATACCACATACAATCCTTATATTAAATATAAAATCCTGATAGTTAAATATATAAATATACAAATTTAAAAAAAAATATAAAATTCCTTAAATTATAACTTCAAAATTATTGGGCTACTATTTAAAGTTTCAATCTATTTTATTGTAACTCACACCTACAACTATTGCATATTATCCTTTACTTGCAAAACAAAAATAATAAAAATTAAATCCAAAATGGTGATTAAAATTGATTTCTTAGGAAATAATCTTTAAAAAATTATAGTCTTTTAGTTCTGACTCTTTGACCAATTTTTTTTTTACAAAATTATCATAATTTTTCTCTGTGCATTCAGTGTATGCTGCAGATTGTTTATTGCAGAGCTATGACTTGGCCGCAAAAATCAGCACAAAAAGATCCAACAAAACCACATTGTTGCTCAATGGGCCAACTAATGTGCTATAGATAGGAAATAAAGGGGAAGCCATTAGAAAGTGCAAAAACAAATTGGCTGCAATCGTGAATTACCTAAGCCGTCTTTCACTAGGAACAAGTGCTTCTAATGTGGAGAGGAAAGCCAATATACAAACCTATATTTTCAGTACGAGCCCGAATAATAAATGCTCCACTCGAAATTACCTTTTAATATTTTAAGTAAGAGTTATATATTTTTTATAAAGACTACACTTGAAGATACTTTTTTACTGATACTGAAAATTAAAGTTAGAATTCCTACTTTATGCTAAAAGAAAGATTATCCACCGGTCCACTTCCTTATTCATTTGATTGTATCCCTGCCATTGACACAGTTTCTACGGTAATCTCAGCTGGCTTACAACACTTTTTGGCCCTGGTCCATTGTCAGCCCGCTTGGCTATTAACCGACCTTCGACGGAGGCCAAGGACAATGGCAGGACGAGAACGCGTAATTGAAAGTACGCGACCAAGTTGTAAAGCAGATGTAAGGACATCAAGTGTCTGCCGCTCGAAGCCGCTGAGCTGAAAAAAACTGAAGAAGAATTTACCATAATAAAAATAGCTAACGCCCAGCCCGAGATTCAAGATTCAGTGAGATGCCATAAGCACAAAGGCAAACTGTAGATAAAAATTCAATAAGCCAGGCCAAGGGCCCAGGAGCAGGACACGCCAACCGAGACCGTTAAGCCCGAAGAACAAGGGGGCAGGGGGTCTGCGGTTGGGATTTTGTGGCCAATAAATAAAATTAATACGAACGCACTTGAGCACAACTTGACCGGGGAGCAGGTCTCCGACGGAAGGACTACGTTTCTTTTTTCTGAGGTTTTTCTTCCATCTTCCCTCCCCCTGCTCGTCATTTTTTCTCCATTCTCTACTGTGTGTTTTGTTTGTTGACTTGTTGAATGAGCCGAAGACCAAGGGCCAGGAGCAGGCCAACTGTTGACTGGCACTTGCAGCCTTATGGCCAAGCCGATATTGAAGGTAAATAGAGATGAAGCTGAGGGCTTAAAGTCGGGCCAAGAAAATTGTTAAATTGTTTAAGTAAATTCTAGGAAATTGAAAGCTACCGGAATTTATTTTTGAAAGAATTTAAGTACATTCAAGTTTCAAATCAGAAGAGTAATTAAAGTAGTATTGAAAAAAATCCCTAGGATTAGATTCAAACTTTTTAGTAATTATTTAAAAAATATTAATATATTGGGTTAGGTAAATTTATGTATTTAATTTTCTAGGAATCCTTGAAAACTATCTAAAATTGTTTTACTAAATTGATTTAAGAGTATTGTATTTTTGTTAGCTACTTATATGAAAACGCAATTCATATCACACTTCCGTATCTCAGTCAATTATGTTTAGAGACTAAACTTTCACCTCATTCAGGAAAATATACTGCCAATCGCACATCGTAATTCTGGCCTCCCGAAATTCTCAAGGCGTTCCCACAATGCAATCATAAAATAGTCAACTCCGGGGTGCATCCGCAGTGGTGCAATTCGAATGCTGACACGTTGATGACCCCGCAATTGAACTGCCATAAGAAATCACTCTGCGAGGGAGAGGATTATTTGTTGGGGGGTGTTGAGCAGCAAGAGAAGTGGGTGGATTGGGAGGTTGAGGGGGCCAACAGTGCACCGCCCACTTTCAACACTTGCCACAACAATGGTGCGCAAATATTTACCAGCCAGCCGCAGCAAAAAGGCAAAGGCATCGGATCAGCGGCTTGAGTCTCAGCCTCAATTTGAAATCCAATAAAATTTAATTGGAAACTTCATCACGGGTGCGAAAATTCACACTCTAAGCCAAGGCAGGCACGACTCGGCTGCCGTTTGCCGTAAATCTATTGGCCAAGGCTTTTCCAGTTCCCAGTTCCTAACCCCCAAACCCCACAGAAAACCCCCTTCCTCGATATATCCACACTATCCACACGTTTCGTTTTGCACCTGGCGGCGTTTCTCTTGGGGAAGCATCGCGATAAGGAAATATTTTTCATACGGTCGGTCGGTCGGTGGGGTGTTCATTTCGTTCCATTCCATTCCGTTATTGGCCATGGCAATATATGGCTTATTTATGATTTTCCTTTTGCCATGCCATATCTCTCTGGTCCATTGTCGACATTAATCGCTTTGCTTCGCTGAAAAGTATAACATGAAATTGGGATTGATTTATGTTATAATTACAAAAGCCAGACGCATATTAGGGGGCCGTAGAGGAGAGTAAACAGTGGGGCAGTCGATATAGATTTTGATCTACACTTTGAAATTGGTCGTAGGTTTCAGAAATTTTAATTCCGTTTGCAATTAAAGTAAAACTTCCCAATCAATGAAATACTTTTATTATGTAAAACAATTTTTTTTTCTTTATTATCGAATCAACAATTTAATAATAATAATTTAAAAAGTTAAGTATTCAGCCTACTAAAAAGCCGTTAAAAACAAAAAACTTAATTTTAAAAAAAACTGCACTAAATTTTTGGTGGCCAAATTATAGTTGATGTCTTTGGTTCATGCCTCATATAAAAACAAGAAAGGAAGCTACCTTCCGCCAGCCGAAGCTTATATACCCTTGTAGATAAAAGAATACTCACTCGGTGCAGTTCCAGGGATTCCAGATTCAGCGTTTCGATTTATTTCAATTTTGTTTTTAAGTAGTCAAGAATCAAAACGCCTACTTCCTACAAAGTTACAATGAATTTTCTTATATTTGTTTGGGAGCCTTAAGATATAGTGGTCCGATCCGGCTGGTTCCGACATATGTACTACCTGCAATAGAAAGAAGGCTTTCGGGAAAGTTTCATCGCGATAGCTTTAAAACTGAGAGACTAGTTCGCATAGAAACGGACAGACGGACAGACGGACAGACGGACATGGCTAGATAGACTCGGCTATTGGTGCTGATCAAGAATATATATACTTTATGTGGTCGGAAACGTCTCCTTCACTGCGTTGCAAACATCTGACTGAAATTATAATACCCTCTACAAGGGTATAAAAATACTAAAATACCGCTCAAAAAACAATGAATTTCATACACTTCCGAAAGTTAACCTTTTACAGAAATCGCTTAAATGTACTCGCAATGTGAAAAAAACATTAAAAATGACTAGCACCCGTTAATTCTCTTCTAATGTACAAGTTTAAAACACTAATTTTTTGAGCCAGTGTGATCAAAAAATAAAACACGAAAATACCAGCTTAACCAACACTGGACCCTCAAGAAATAGTATTTTCTTGAACCACGTGTATTGGGACAAACTTTTTGGCAGACGGTCAATTTTTCTTTCATCAACTTTCCTACTTTCCTCATCACCGAAAAATGCGAAAAATGGAGTTTCATAATTGCGATATAAGCATTCATTATACTTCTGTGAGTGTTTTTAGCAAATATTGTGTTCCTTTTACTAAATCACTTATTATTGTACAGAATTCCCCAGAATCAATTCGCAGTCCATCTTCCCGTTCCCCTCGCTCCTCTAGTGCTCCGAATTTACCCGATTTACTTCGCCGTATCCCAGGTTGCCCTCGAATGGAATTTCATAATTGCCGTATAAGGTTTAATGATTATTCTGTAAGTGTTTTATGTTTTTTAGCAATTTTTTTTATTATAAATATTATTATTATGCAGAATACCCCAGAATCATACCGCCGCCCAGCCCCCGGTCCCTCTCGTCGCCGCTCTAACCGTCTTTCAGCTTCCGCTCCCTATGATGCCAATTCACCTCGCCGTCTTCCAGCTCCCGTTCCGGTTGTTCCGGATCCACCTCGCAAAGTCGAAGCTTCTGACCCTAATCCTGGTGTCCCCGCTCACCGCCCCCCTGTCGACAATGTCTCAAAGTCGATTAAAAAAGAAGAAATCTAGCCAAATTACGGAATATTTTCTTCAAAGGCCAAAATAAACAGAGGCTGAAGATATGTTATAGATCTTAACATTGAAAATCTTTACAAGCTTTCCTCTACTTAAATTGTCTAAATTTTAAAATAAAGGCGAATTAGAAGAGCTAAGCACTGTATTTGTCATTTTAAAAGATAATATGATTCTCAAATCAAATTTCGAACTCCCTCTATAAGCAGTACAAATATTCCGTTTATAAGTTAATTATGAAAAATTTCGTATATTTCTTTCTATTCCTGTATAAACTGTACAATTTTGAGAGCTCCGGTCGAATCGACTGAAAACAATTCAACCAGAGAGAAGATCGAAAAGGGTATTGTGTGTGATGATTAAAAGTCTTCAGTGAAATGAGATCGGTGGGTTTTTTTTTTCTGTGTTGCATGTGCCGGTAGTCTAGATCGGATGATGACGTGGGGATTTATGTAGCGCTATCCTCGATGAAGTCCCACCAGTCCTTTTCATAACCCTCTCTCACGTGGCACAGAAGGACATGCCGTCGCTTTTGGCAGTAATGCGATAAATCGAGGACCTTCTGCTTGACCTCGTACAGGTTCTTCACGGTAATCTCTCGCTCCAAACACTCGGAGATCTTCTCGGTGGCCATTTCCATATCCTTCTGGTTATCCTCGAATATGATCTTCTGATTGTTGTTCATCAGGTAGAAGGCAAAAACATAGCTGTACATTAGAGTGGTGCGACACTGGCAGAGAACATTGACGGCATCGCGCAGAAACTGGACCTCAATCCAGCTCATCTCTTCCTGCATGTCCTCCATTTTGGCCTGAACACTGGCGTTCAATTTGTTCTCCATTTGCATGCTCTGCATGTGATTCATATAGCGGTTATAGTAGTGCAGATATCGGGCCATCGAAGAGCGATACTTTTGCTGGGCCAGTCTGGCCTGCTTGGCCTCCTCTTCGTCAAAGCGATTGCAGCTGTACCAGGACGAACCGTGTGGCTCCCAGGATCCCAAGCACACCCAGCAGAAATCATAACGGCAGGAAGGATTCTTGCAGACCATGTGATTGCAGCCACCGTCCTTCTCGATCGTCACATTGCATTTCGGGCACTCTTTGGTGTTCTGGGCAATCCAATTGGAGGTCTCCGAGTCCTCGAGGCATTTCTTCAGCCACTTCTTCAGCGAACTGCAGCTGGCCGGTTCGTGCCAATTCTCGCCGCAGGCAAAGCAAAACTGATGGCCACACTTGCAGTGAACTGCCCTTGGCTCGGCACAAACGGCCTTGACGGCATGGGTGCAATTGGGGGCGGGACACCATCGCATCAGCATGTTGCATTCCACAAAGGTGTTTGTTATGAGCTGTTGATATCGCTCAACAACCTCTGGATCATCGGCTAGTTTTAGAAAGGATACATAGTCCACTAGGATGTCGCAATTGGCAGCTGGACATTTGATGGTGTTGGCCAAGCCCTCGCTGCAGGTTTTATTGGCCAAGTATTGTTTCCAGCAGGCGGCGCAGAAGCTGTGACCACAGCCCAAACCCTTGAGCTCCTCGCAGGGGCAGAAGCAAATGCCACAGAGCTTCTGCAAGGAATTAGAGGATGATGTCGAGACCTTACTTTCCACATCCAGTTCGCTCTTCCGCTCGAAGGGATTCACCACGTGGGCACGCTGGAAGAAATCCTGCGGACTGCTATCGAAATAGTTCTCGAACAGCCGTTCCTTGTCCCACTTGAAATGATTGAGTATAATGCGCGTGACCTGCGGTGAAAGATTTAGGACATTGTTCACCTCGTCGATGATGTTGCGCTGGTGCTGGACGATCTGGTCCACCGAAAGGACCTTGTACACAAAGTCATCTGCATCGGCACTACGATTAGGATTCTCCGCCAAAACGATCCCCGTGCAGGTATCCTCGCTGTCGCTGTCGAAATTTCCGCAACTCATGTGACTGTGATGCGAGTCGCCGTGATCCTCATCAGAGAATTCCGAGTCCGAGTTCATATTACCAGCATGTGGGCTAAAGTGCGTTAGAATTTATCCCGCCACAAAACCCTAAAACATTTGGGGATTTTTTTTTTGTGGAGCTGATGGGACAACAACAGTGACAGCAGCAACAACGTTTATCAGACCACGTGTATCGATTTGAGGAATATTGAACACGTTCTATGCGATGAAATGTTGTATTTTCTTCGTATTTCTACTGAAGACTGAACCTACTCGGTTGACACCTGACAAGATTTTCTATTATCTAACTTTTAGGAAAATTATTTTGGGAAATATTAATAGTGTTGAAAGTAGGGAATAAACCCAGAAAAAATCCAGAACCTGTAAATTTTTTAAACCTTACCTTAGTTGCAATAAATGCTGTGTAAATTAAAACATTAACCAATTCCTCTTGAATGACAACAAAACGCTAATGACTTAAAAATTGTATAATTTATTATTTAATACAAAAATTAAATATTTTACGTGACAGTTGTAATGTTTTACGAAAAATGTATAAACTGTTTGAAACATAATTTGTAAACAATAAATTAATATTTCGCGGAAAATACTATAATTTTTTTTTACTTTGCTTTATCCTATATGTTAGTTGCTATGCGGTTTTTGAAAAATCATGCTGTTTTAGTACCGAGTTGAGAGACCATCCAAATGCATTTGGCCTGCGCTTTCAACGCATTCTCACATGCACACTAAAAGCTTTTCGGGATATATATTTTTTCATAACCCCTTCGTGGCATAAAACAGAACAAAGCAATGTCTCAAGTGGCAAGGGTAAGGCACGTAAATAAAAAAGAGGAATAAAATCCAGGAAAAAAACACACACGCGATATGTGAAATGAAAGTGAACGAGTGCACAAGGATAATGGCGACCAGAAAGGGACGGAAAGCGAAAGAGAGAGAGGGTAATGAGTGTGCATAATGCAGATGCAGATGCAGGATCCCGGACCAGGATTCCACGATTCCAGGCGCAACCCAATCCAGCCCATCTCTCCAGCACTCATTGAACAAACGGGCTCAATCTGCCATGCCGAGCTGCACTTGGGTGTGAGAACACTGGGAGAAATTTAGGTTATTTATAATTTGAAAGGGATTTATATTTAATTCAGAACTAGAAAAAAGTAATATTATAATTAATATTGTTTAGCACTTAACATTTTTTAAAATTTAGTATATTTTAGTGTACAGTATATTCAAATCGTAAAAAGATACCATTAGAAAAAAGAAAAATTGTTATTTTTTAACGGATATTTCTTCCTTAAATTTTTTAATTAATTCGTAAAAATAATTTTTTTTTAAGTGTTCTCGATTTTATATATGTGAGTTTATGCATTTATAGAGGAGAAACACACATCGTGTTCATAAGGCTGCCGTAGCTTTTATTTCTTTCCTTCTCTCCCTGCTATTTTTTTGTATTATTTTATATTTAAAACAAAAGCCGCACAAAAACCCACCAAATACAGTGGCCCGTTCCAGGATAAAAAAAAAACAAAAGTAAAGCGAAAAGAGCTGGCAAAAATCATTACAAATAAAAATGCAAAGTCGCCAAAACAGCAAAGGCAGCCACAAAATCCCTTTCATCAGTTCGCAGGGTTGGAGATCCACATTCTCGCCCCCTTTTTCCATCCAGCATCTTTTCAAGTCACAGCCAAATTACAAGAAATCCTTTCGTGCGCGTGAATGCTTTGGTGGAAAATGCGGAAAAGGAAATAATTTGACCATTTGCTGCAGAAAAAGCAAATGAAAAATAAAAGAGGAGCGGAGGAAGGCGGCTGCCAACGATTGTGGGCGTGGCCTTTGTCATATGTGGAAAATTTCAAGAATTTCTCCTGTGAACATGCAAATGCAATAACAACAAAGATGCGCCACTTGTTGGCCACGACGCTTTATCATTGCCAATCTCGTTGAGAGAGGCCGAAAGAAATGGCCAGCTCCGATGATGATGGTCAACAGCGATGGCCCTGTGACGTGACCACGCCAAAAGACCAAAAGCCTGGCCAATGATGATGCCAAATAGCTGATAGGCCAACAATCCCGGCCAGGCCAACTGGCATTTCTCTGAGCCTACTTAAAGTTGTTCACTAAAAGAAATGGTTGGTTATTCAGTAAGAATTTTATAAAAATTAAAGTAATAGATAGAACAGTCAGTTCAATAAAAAATAGGCTTAAAACAAAAAAATAGTTATACAAAAATTTAAGAAGGTTACTAAAGAATACATTTTTGTTAAAATTATTATTTGTATTTTATTTAATTTGAATTTTTTTTAATGATTTAAAGCTACTTGTAAAATGTCGAGTTTAAAATACGAATAAAACTAAATTAATATAAGGGTTGTATAACTTGCTAAGCAGTTGGTTGACCGTTATTTTCTAATTTCAACAGACCAATCTTTTTTCCCCCTGTGTATTTTATGTTCCTGCAACTATTTGCTGGAAAAATATTCTTGGGAAAAATTTCTCCAGCTAACCCAAATGGTTTCTGGCCAAAAGGATGTTCGCTTGGAAATTCATGTAAATTAGCTAGGTAATGACAAGCTTTATATCAGCGGCAAACGGATGTATGCTGATCGCGGCGATAAATGCGTTCGCCCGCTTCTCGCATTATAATTACTCTCTTGTCTGGTATTGTGTAGTCGATTTGAAAAGCAAAAATTAGCTGGAAATCAACGAGCATGAAGCGCCGACACTGTGGAAGAAAATCAGCGCTCGGAACTAATTTGATTTTGATGCGACGGGGCCCAGAGAAATGATATAGAAGAATGCGCGTATATTTCTGTATAAAGCCGGGCTCTCGACTCATAATCAAGTCGCGGTGAGGCATGAGTTATTACATTAACGGTTCGCATGGACAGCTGAATTTATGTATGTTTTCTCTGCGCCATTGATTGACCTTGACTAGCGGTTTAACAGTAGCTGGGCCAGCGATGAATTCGTATATTAATTATATACGAAAAATTAATTTCAAGTTTCCAGTGTGTCAGAGATTTATGTGAATTTCGTTTTGGTCTATAGTCTAGACTTTAAATTCGTTTTAAATGCGATCCGGGTGATCATTCATCAAGCGGTTGGTTAGAAAAATGGGTTAGGGGAACAGCTCCATCCATCATAGAATATTCTTCAAGATGGATATCGTATAATAGCAACGGAGGTGCTACATTACCTGACACGATTGCATCACTAATTTAGGATTTAAAATTGGTTGAGTTCTTTTTCATTTTTTTATAATTTCCCTAACCCTTTACTATGACTTGCCTTTTGCAATTGTTATCGCACAGCTCTTTCATCTCTTCTCGTCAAAGAGAAATCATTGCCAAAAATTTGCTTTGAAAACGATTGTATTCTACTGCAACCCCAGGGCACATCCTTATCACAATCCATCACCCCCACACAATTTTGGCAAATACTTCCAATCAAAAAGGGTCTGCAAAAAAAAATAAATGTGTCCTTGTGACAGGCAAACAAAAACTTGGGTGCGAAGAAAAGTGAAAGTGCTCCCCCTTAGACATTCAACCCCCGAAAAAGCAAAAAAAGAAATCAGCAAAGGAAAAACTTTTTCCACCACATATGTGGCCTCGCACGAGCAGCTATCTCTTTCCAACGTTTGGCGGCTTTTCGCCTTTGAAATTGAAGCATTTCCGCCATCTTTTCTGGGTGGAATGGTCGCCGTTAAGGTTTTGGAAAGAAAGTGCGTTAAGAGGGAAAACTACGCCACTTCAAAGTGGCAGTTTAGTTAGTAAGTTGGCCCCCAAGAAGGCAAATCAGTGGGCTCAGACTTCAAAGCGGGTTTTGCATTTCGTCCGCCAATATTCTCGCGCTTTTGTGGCTTCTTTCGGTGGTAACCCCAACTCTTTTTAACCCCCCATTGTGACATAGAGAACGTTGACTTTGGTTTTCGAAAACTTTTTCGAGGGAATGCTAATATGTGTATATGTATGATTCAGAATAGGACCCTGACTCTGACCAGTGAAAGTCCTGCTGCGGAATTTCGCGTGCTCAGTTGACATTTAGTGGACTTGACGGGTTCACACTCGTCTAAGTGAGGGGCGGTGCTGGTTTTTATGCCTTTCTAATGGGTACTCAGGGGTGGATTGGTTGTAATTAAAGCGAATTACACAGGGTTGTATTTAAAGTTATCGAGACTTATGAGGAAATAATTGAAATTCTTTATAGGGCAAAAATAGGGAAATATAAGAATTGAGTATTTAGCTCTTAAATGAAAATTTTTTTTAAAGTTAGAAATATTAAATGACATTTTTTAAATCTCTTTAGTTATTAATAAAATAGTTACATTTTTAATAAAAAATAGTCCTTTGACGGTTATAGCTTATTTAAAAATGTAATAAGTATAATAAATATTTGAAAAATAAGTCGGAAAGTTTTGGGGACCACATCTCCTCCAGAATTCCTCTTTCATTCCTCATAATATGTTCAGATTATCTGGTCGGCCTTTAATTGTTTGATTCGTTTCTCTCGTATTTTCTTCGTTTTTTCTTGGCCGTTTTTTTTGTTGTTTGGACCGCGACTGTCTGGCACGTCTTGGTAATATCTTGGTGTTTGTGTGACTGTGTTTTCTAATGCACGTCACGTGACAAAATTGTATAATTTCCAAAACGGGCAGCGGGCCGCACGTCGCCCATTGCCATTGTGACATTTCCGGTTAATTTGGCGCCAGCTCAGCCGGGTTCCAGTCTCGTATTCCCTTCCCCTTTTCTGGTAGCCCTCCATTGAGTCAAAAGGGGGACAGCCACATTTTTGACACTTGGCCAAGCAAAAATCACAGCGCAGGAAACATTTCCTTTCCCTTTTTGGCCAAATCGCAATTACCTTTCCCTCTGGTTAACGTTAACGTTGCCGCTGCTCTAACGTAATCGTAACTTACTTTTCCTTTCATTTTGTGGCCGCCGGCGGACGGACAATGCAAAGATCAATGCCAGTCGCAGTCAGAAATTAGTAAGTGCAACTAAGGCGAACCAAAACGAGGGCGCCCACTCAATTCCACCCCCCTGGCCATCGCACTCGCTCTTTGGAGCAGCAGCCATGCCATGAGTAACTGACATTAATTCAAATTGTTAATTCATGCCTGTCACGCTTTGGTACAGCGGTGTCCCCACAATATTTCCTAGCCCGGCTCTAATGCACTGGGAAAATCGTTGGGTCACATCTTGGATACTTTCTAGAAAGT